TTAATTATTGATCAATACTAATTAAATAATATGATTTCATATTAATATATTATAACTTATAATATATTAACATACTATTCTCAAAAGACTATCCATACAAATTGTTCCAGTGAAATGCAACCCAAATGGACCATGCTACTCTCGGGTTGAATACATACCAATAATAGTTATGGGCTTAGACATATAATCCAACAGAGCTACCATGTGGGGTCTACAGTCTGGCCATGAGTGCTTCTGTTTCACCACCTTCTGCCATTGATGACCTTAACTTCTGGGAAGAGCTACCATGTGGGGTCTATAGTCTGGCCATGAGTGCTTCAAAGATGGATGAAAATCTAGTGGGTGAAGGCGAAGCATTTTTTTCAATTTGCAGGGTAATTCACTAGTTGCTATGCTTTTTTCTGGTGGATTAGATTCTATGATACTTGCAGCTTTATTAGAGCAGTGCCTAGATTCATAATATAGGTGTGATTAGCTTTAAGTTCAGTATAATAAGAACTGGTTTAGGGATTTTCTTTTTATTTTTTATGCATCATTCTTAATATCTTATCATATCTATTTTGGCAGTTGAAATTGATCTGTTGAATGTATGTTTTGATGGTGAATTAGCTCCTGATAGAATCTCTGCTATGGCGGGTGTGAAAGAGCTGAGAAAAATCGCCCCTTTGAGAAGGTAATTGACATTTTAACTTTTTTCTATTACCCTCTGACTTTGACTTTCTTGTAGTTCTTTCATAATACAAACAACTTTTGAATGCAGATGGAATCTAGTAGAGATAGATGCAGAATTGTCGAAATTGACCATGGAGACAAAACATGCCTTTTCACTTATTTATCCTTCAAATACATACACATATGACTATTGTCATTCACCAAGTGCTTTTTCTTGAACAGAAGCTGGTAAAAACAACACATGTTAAAGAAACTCTTCAAACAAATCCAGTAAAAATATCACTCAAGGATTGCTTAGCATGCAGGTAACACATCCTGATCACTAACTCCTAGAAGCCATTATACATCAAGTGTTGATGAATTGAATTGGTAACAATAACATTGTTGTAATCATGTAGTGGATGCATTACTTCTGCAGAGATTGTTATGTTAGAGAAGCAAAGCTTGGATGAGTTTCTATCCAATATAAACAATGGCAAAACTGTTATTGTCTCTCTTTCACCTCAGTCAAGGGCTTCCATTGCTATGCATTATGGTCTTTCTTCACTTCAGGTAAATTCCTTTATATTAGCACCCTTCCACTTTCTTTATGAATCAATGTGCAATGAGATGAGATAGCTTTCTTAAATGATCACAAAGTTCAGAAGGTATTCAGATCTACATGGGTATCTCTCATAGTTTGAAAATGTTTTTTTATCTACATGAAAATTCAGTATCTGTTTGTGAATGGTACATAGATCTGTTAATTGCACATTTTTTAAAGTTTAATATTATTGTAAGGTTTCATGTTATTTTTGGTGTTACGGGATCTTAATATTGGGATTGCCTTGTGGTTGGTAACTTGTCATCATATGTGTCCTTTTTCACTATCTTTATTTTTATTCATTTTTGTTGATCTGACCTATTTTATGTTGCTTGGTTCTTGTTTTACAGGTTAGAATGGATCCTAGGAATTTTCATACATTTTGTTGTAAAGTAACTAGTCGTAAGTATGTCGTTTGTTTAGAAAAGAAATAGGATAATAAGAAGCGTTGTTTCCTATAGGGAAGTATATCCCCCCCTCTCACCCAACAGATCAGGTACCTAACTTTCTCTTTATTAATTTTTGTTTTTCATTATTTATGATTGTATTGTATCTATGGAATTATATGAATATTGAACAAAATTATAAAAATTATTCCATTTTTGATGTATTATTGCTTTAATGGTTAAAAAGATTGTGAAATCTTGGATTTATACTTGCAGATGGCAAAACAAACAATGGGGTTCTCTTCACAAGGAATCAATTGTTGTGCAGATCAAAAGCTTTATCACCTTCAGGTTTCTCTTGCTCTTTTAACAATTTTATACCTTTTTTTATAAAAAAATCTTTTTATATAAATTGGTTCTTATAGACTCCTCAAGCTCTGATTGTTCGCACTACTACATATGAAAAGTCCAGTTTTATTATCTCTAAACTCAACTTTCTATTTGTGTTGCTTTGGTATGTGTTTTAAGTTTCTTTTTACTAGCAGAAGATATCGTGTACGTGTTCTTGTGCTGCTATTGTGGATTCGGGAACATCCTTGCTTACTGGTCCAAACTGTATGTATCTCACGTGAAGCTTCTGTTAGAACTATTAATCTCAGAGATTTCAAGTTTTTCATATTTTTTGTATCTAATTAGTTTGTAAATTTCTGTTACAACTTCTGTTGATTTGTTTTATCTTTCCATAAAACGATTATTTGTATGATATTAAATTTTATGCAATGGGTTGTATTTTTTGTGTATGATATTTTATTTTCTATTATGAGGCATTAAATGCAAATTTAATTTGAAAATTAGTAAATCTATAAATAATATTTTTTTTAAATATTTAAAATTACGATACGCAAAAATGTGTGTCATCTTCATTTATGACATGGCCTTTCTTGACAGAGGAATTAATGATACACAATGCGAGTCGTAAATGCATGTCGTAAGGTTACGACACGCAAATATGTGTTGTTTTTTTATGACAGGGCCTTCCTTGACACACATTGCATGACGTAAGAGCGCGTCGTAAGGTTACGACACACAAATGTGTGTCGTCTTCCTTTATGACAGGGCCTTCCTTGACATGCATTTGCGTGTCATCTGTGGCTTTTATGATACGCATTGCGTGTCATTAAAGGCTGTTTTTCTAGTAGTGTGAAACCTCCATGACTTTTCTATTTATTTATAATAACTATTATAAATTGGTTAATAATGTTAAATTAATGGAAAACTATATTCTAATCATAAATGAACTAAAACAATATTAAAATATCATATTTTATTTCTATTTATAAAATTGTGACTTAAAATTTTTAATATATTATAGTTAACTTATTAATTTAGATATGTTGTCATATGAGAGCAATTATCATTTTAAAGTCACAACTCTTCTATAATTTATAATTTTATGCAAAATAGTTAAATTATTAATTTCAATGTAATGTTAAACGGTTAACTTAAATCAATATTTTTGCTAAACTTGAAAAATATCGAGAGACTATTTTATAAATAGTTAAAAGTTATAAAATATAGTGTTAAATCTAAATTATAATCCAAAATTAACAAAAAAACCATGAAACTATTTTTTATAATCATTAAGAATTTTCAAATAATTAGCTTAAAATAACTTACAATAGAAATAGTTAAAAATAGTATTATATAAAAAATTATAATATTATCTTTAAAAACAAAAACAATGTTGATTGTTTTAAATAATAACAATCAAAGAAACTAACAATATACATCAAATAAACTTTTAAAAAGTTAAATTTCTGAAACCAAATTAAAATAATTAAGAGTTTCCAAATATATTATTTTAAATAGCTTACAACAATAATAGTTAAAAGTAATATTATATACAAAAATTATATTGGTACCTTTAAAAACAAAAACAATGTTTGATATTTTGAATAATTATAATGATAGAAATTAAAATCTTAAGCAAATAAACCTTTTAACATTAATTAATCATAACAACAACCATAAATATCATTAAACCATATATTATTTTTAATTTGATTTGTGAGAAACCCGTAGGTAGAGGCCATTAAGACAATTGAGATTATAGAATTTTAAAAGATGGCTACATTATCATATAATTCAAAACAAACAATGTTTATACCAACTTATTGTTGGATTAGGTGTCTAAGCCAACAACTGAATTGGTATATACACTACAAATAAAATTACATTTAGTGGCACAGAAAAAGTGTCACTAAAAACCAAAAATGTGCCACTAAAGACCCCATTGGCACAAAAAAATAGTGCCGCTAAAGGCGCTGCCACTAAATACCTTTAGTGGCACTTTTTGGTTGTGTTGCTGCAGCCTAATTGGGTTTTAGTGTCACTTTTCAATTATGCCACTAAACACTTATAGATTTTAGTGGCACTATTTTTATGTCACTATTTAACTGCAAAAATAGTTATTATTTTCATACTTTTAGTGACATTTTTTTAACAAAAAACTTATATTAATAAATTAAATCTTATTTTTTTATTTTAAATGAAATATAAAATAATTATAGGACAATTAAGATAAGACAAAAACAAAATATCATTACATCAATTCAAACTTGTCTAAAAACAATAATTTCAATACATTTAGTTACACATTAAACTTGAAGAACTACAAAATTAACATAACATCAAAAACAACTACAATGAAGAATAATTGAGAAGGTCATTCAAGGGAGTTCGGTTTGCATCTTGTCCACCAAAAATGACTAAAGTACCTCCCACAACTATAACTGATTGACCCCCACGTGAAACCTGCAACAGTAACACAAAACAGAAATACGTTTAAAGTCCATCAATAACAAATGGTCGAGTTTTGTTGTTTGATTTGATTTCTTGCATAAATTTGACGAATATGTTGAGAAGTGTAAAATGGTCATTTTACTCTTATTCAAATAGTTCATTCTGTCCAAAAAAGAAACAATATTTGTCCATACAAAACTTACTCGAGACATCATTTATGCAATGCATAAACATAACAAAAAAGTTTGCATACTATGGTTAAAATCCCATGTTCATGTGTATAATTTTACTTTTCACAGTGTATAATTTTTATAGTTTTAGAACACAATTAATAACTATATTTTGGAATATTGTTTGTTGCTTATGCCTAATGGAAATAAAGACTAATGGAAAAAATTAAGAACACATACAAGTGGTTTTCCATAGGTCTTCATAGTTGACAAAGTATTCGTTTGCAGATCAAATGCCTTCACTGTTTCAATAAAATTAAAAAGATATAATTATACATATAAGAACAAATAGCTATATATTGCAATTAAGTTATGTTTGACTAAAAAGAGATATTAAAAATTCAAACAAACCATTGGCAACTTCAGAAGGATCCTTCAAATGTCCTGCAATTGATATAAGCTTATTCCCTTCCCATGGTATCTACAAAATCAACAATGAAAATTATTTACAAATTTATAAAATCATTGCTCAATAAGTTTTTATATATATAAAAAAGATCTTGATACTGACCAAAGAATGCCCAGCACAAGGAGTTACTGTGACCGGAGCCTCGTGATTCGGTTTGACTTCAACCTTTGACCATGTCCAATTTCGTAAATTAAGTCTTTGAAGATCATTTAGGTAACACACATTATAGTTTCCACCAAATATATGACATCCAATTTCTCCGCGAGAAAAGACCGATTTAATTTATGCTTTTAAAATAAAATCAGAGTAATCTTTTTAAAAGATGTTGCGGAATTTGTCCCCAAAACAAAACATGATAAAAATTTATCAAAACATTTCTTAAAGAAATATATATTTTCATTTTATATCAAAACCTCAGGATGTCGTGTTCCGATACAGATAAAAAGCATAAACAGTACATTATAAGCCTTACAACAGTTATTTACAACTATTGGCCTATAATCAAAAAATCTCTCATCATCATCCGACTATGCTTGGGGTCCACTACCTGTAATATAAAAAGTTGAGTGGGTCAGGCTTGGGAGCCTGGTGAGCATATAGGGTTTTCAACCCACAAATAATAATAAATTTATTAAATTCATCAACCAAAAATAAATTTATTAATTTCATCAACCAACAATAACCCTGATTACTCATTCCCGTTATTCTCACTTTACGTCCCTAAACACCTATCATAAGGGACCTAGTATAAGGATTTTCATCAGGGTGACAACACTGCTTTAGGGATTCCTCAGCAATTTATGTCAAATAAGGCAACCATGAGGGGGGATGGAGTACACCAGCGAACATATAGTTCACCAAAACCTACAGGTTGCGAACCTGCTAGCGTTCCATTGGACTGTCTAGAAAGGTCCGTGGTCGTCATTTATACTCCGCTAGATGACAACAACAACAACAACAACAACAACATCATCGAGGCTTCTCATCATTTTAACACACATCAAGTATTTCGTCTACCCATGTTTTACCCAACATATTTGTAGATAAAAATACA